CGCTGTAGCGGTATAGTGTCCATCACCGACGTCGTTGAGCTCGTTCTGTGCACCATGAGAGAGGTGACTTTTTGCTCCTCTTTTGTTTAAAAATTGCCATACCGTATTGTCGTCGATATTTCCAGCAAATTTTGCAGAAATCCATCGAAACCGCATTTTGTCGTCCGCAACGAATCCAACATTTAGCGACTGCGGGCCGTTCCTGAAAATGAGCATTTTTCGACAACATTCACCACCGCACCTTGTTAGCGCTATCATTACTTACTTTGACTTTTGCCTTAAATCTGTTTAAACTTCTCAAAATGAGAATGTTAAAAGAGTGAAGCTCCTATGACTCTTTTCAGGGTGGGCCATGTTCCAGGAAGTACAAAATGCTCATCAGCTAAGCGGAGTTTGGTCATAGTGGACGTGGCGTGCATTGAAATAAGCAGTACAGTAGGCGATGCCTTGATACCAGGAAAAGTGGACAAGATGTGCGTCGATAAGCCAGATCGAATTATTGAGACCAACCTCGGTGGGCGGAACGTTCAATAAAACGGCGGTTGTTTAATATAATACAATCCATAACACAATTAGGAGAAACCAGAAAACACAGCAGCAAAAAAGTTAAAATGTGCGAGGCAATTTGTACAGTCATAAATGAACGCGAGCGGAAATGCCTCACTCATGGGCAGAGCCTGTCCTTGAGTGGACTGCGTTCACTACAACCCCTCATAATTCGGTTCCGCGGTTGCAGAGACAGGGAAAAAATTGGATAGAGGAGGTTAAGTATCAGTGGTAGGCGTGGTGTGTACCTAACTGGGCGGGGCTTTCTACCAAACTTATGAATCGCTTTCAAGAACTTCTGGAGACGGAAAAAAGGTGGATAGAGGTCCGCAAAGGAACAAAATCAACTGCTATTGGTGGGTAACGTCATGCAGCAGAACATAAGTTGATTAAGTTGCCACATGGACTTCAAAACCGGTCCATAGTAAGACAGCCATATGACGCGTAAAAATGGCTAGAGGTTGAAAGACGAGAGAAACCCTCTACTGGCTGAGCGGAGGTGACCGATATGGGCAGAGTAGTCCACAAATCATAGAAGACATTCGGCTCCGCAAGCTACCGCGCGTACTGTGTAGTGGCGTCAGGAAGCTGTAAAACCTGTGCACCAAACCATCAGCCGCGGCACTGTTTCATCTCTACTGGATACATGGATCGTATGAAAAAGATCCTATCCTAATTGCAAAGTTGCCCAGTTTCACTGAAGAAACCACTCAATGAGCGCGGTAGCTTGCAGAGCCAAAGTGGTAAAATCAGAAAAGGCATTTATTGGTTTCATGGCATTGCACTACGCATTGAACCTTCGCTCAGAATCGTAGCGGTATCTGAATGCGACCAATGCAGTGCTGCGAGAGACTCACCGAAATAATTCTGAGATGCGTTGTTCTTAGGCAACTAGGCAGCTATGGTACTGTTCAAACTCAACGTGTTGAAGGATAGTCCCGCTACACTGGACGAGATTCGGCTAGCCCATGGGCGAGTTTGATAAATTTTCGGGAATTAATTTAGATGACTTTTCTGTGTATGTATGATGAATGCATGATCTGTGTGCTAGACACTTCTTGTTGATAGTAGAATATTCATTACGCCTGAAAAAGTCGAAGATTTGCACGGTCCGAAAGCACTGCGAAACGTCTCGTGATATTACCACAATGCTCGACGCAGACCAACTCAAAGTCAACCAGCAGTTACAACCAGACGTCAACTGCCCCGTTTCCCAGAGAATTAACCAGGAGTCGGGACAGTGGAAGGGGAGAGTCGTGTGCTCGAGTACCAGTTACAAAATTTGAAGACATCAAAGCATGGCAAGGTAGAAAGACTTGCAGAATCTCTTCGTATCCCAGTGAGCACGAGCAGATCAATTCTTCTAGAATGGAAATTCTAGCAAAAGAAGGCATTCAATTTAGTTTTATAGTATTTAGATAGATGTAATTAGTGCCAACTGTTAGAATACAACAGCAGCAGGCCTACCATTTCATTGGCCGAAAACATTTGCATTCTGTGGAGGCCGTTGTCACTGGTGTATTGTCTGTAACGTTCTTCTAGTTATATGAAAGGGAGGGTACATCGTTGGATATCGTGAAGCGTGCTGGCAAGAGCTTATCTTACGCAACTTCTATCAAGTGCGGCCGCAGTCACGTCACCTCCACCCCAACTCACCCCCAAGCCCCTGGCAACTCCCACTCTGCGCTCTCGACTGTAATAGTGCATCACAAATAAAAAATTTACACGTAAAGAACTACCTCATTGTCTAGCAAGAGCTTCACTTTCACACTATTTGTTCAAAGATTTTTGTTTTTTTTTTTCATCTATTGACTCTTTGAATTGTTTCGTTCAGCTGGATGCCGAAGATCAGAGCAAATGTAATAGCTTAGCGTATGTTTTCTGCCGTGTTCAGCAGCCCAAACAAATATTACTGTGCAGTGAAGTATGTGTCTTCATTTTTTATGGCAACCCCCTCAAAACTCAAGCTTTGAAGTGGAACTTGGAAGAATTCCCCTTCGCCCCCCCCCCCTCGGAAATTCTTGCATTCTCTCACTTTAGGAAATTGATTCCTTAGCTGTTGAACAGCCATCACCACAGTTTCATGGGCTTTACCGAGCGCGAGAGGACATGTAAGGAATATTTTGCCGTATAACTACCAATAACAGAGGTACCCTTAGCAACAAAAACTTTGATGATATGCGCCATGGGCAAAGTGACTCCTTTTTTGCCCCCCCCCCCCTGTATACAATTTGTGATTTCCAATCATCCCGGGCGCCTCAAATAGCCGTCGCCTCATTTTCTAGCTGTCTTATGTGATGAAAATGGCTCATTTTTCTACTAGAACTCGATAACATGAAAAAAAAAACGAAGAACGGATTCTATGGTATACGAAACCTTGCAGAATGAATACATCCTAATCAATTTCAATAAAATTCGCAAAAGTAAATTGCAATGAGGAGAATTACTGCGACTTCCATTAGGTAATCGCTGACCTATCTCCGGTACTAGGTGAACTGTCCACAGTGGAAAACACTCGTAAGCCAGTGCTATCAAAGGACTGCCACCAAACCTTCAACACATGAGCCTAGTAATCTATTTAAAGGAGCTGACGCATCAAGTAAGAAGCGCGTCAATTGTAATTCAGGATCATGAGCCACGCTCTACATGACAGGAATGGGTCGCGAGAATGTGCACCCACGATGGGTGAGGGATGCATCCAAGTTGGCGATGCCGGCGACAAGTTGGCGCGTTCGCGTCTCGAGAAACATCCGAGAACCGTGAAAATGGTAACGATGTGTACGTCAGCTTTGCAGGCATCAACGCTATACCATAGCAGTTTTCCCTTGCACGCTATCGTGCACACCACATGGTAGGTCCATGCAACTGGAGAACCTTGCAGAATATTAGGTTATTCGGCTAACGTACACGTATCCCGTGTTCGTGGTGAGATTTCGCGGTTGAATGCATCTGACATTACTCAAGTTCCACATTTCACTATAGCCTATGGTGTTACGCGCGCGATCCCACGTAGAACTAAACTGAACACACCAAACAAAGTGGGATGTAAGGCAAGAAAATCACCAGTCATGGAAAGGAGCACTCACTGCTGTTATCCATACTTAACTCCTGGCCTTTATCCAGAAAGCACGGTAATTTGAGTATGAATAACAAAATTAAATGCGGAACCTGCGGAACTTTTGGCGATGGGCAGAGAAAATTCATCACATAATTTTTTGATGTCCTTGATGTCATGTGATGTCACACATTCCCCAGACTGCAAATATGATATGTTTTGCATGGGAAACAGACAGCGCATTCAGGGAAAGGTGGCCGTGTCAGGCTTTACATTTATAGGGGTGGTGAGCAAAGAAGTCGTTTAGTTTTCCGTCTAAGGGTCACGTTCGAAACGGAGACTAAACGACTTCTTACAAGCCAGTTTTAACAGTTCGATGAGTGAGCGCTACAGTAATCCACGTTGGCACTGGAGCGCGCAGCTAGCACCTTCCTGGCTTCGTGTACGTTCCCAACACCAACGTTTTGGGGGAAACAAAAAAAGAGGTATAATGCCTCGCAGCAAGCCGTGCACATAAACCCTCCGTTCGGACTTCATAATCTCACTAATCGACTTCTTTGCTTACCACCCCATGGATAAATTTGAACAAGCTTGAAGAGTGATACTAAATTTCGGGTAAAAACATTGCAATCAAGATATAATAGGAACAGATTAGTTTCAGATTCAACTTGTTTCTGTATTAAATATAATCACTTCATTTACGAATCCAGCGCGACCTTCTGTCTATCCAGCCGAATCACAGCGCATTCGCTCATCAGCGAGAATGCAGCGGATTCGCTACGCACTCGTTCGAAAAAAACTCCAAGGCGGCCAACAAATACGTATAAAATCATAATTAGCTCAAACATTCCCTCTCCGCCCCGCCTTTTCACCTGTCTTCCGGTGCATCTGTAGGAGCCATCCATACTTTTGTTCCATCTATACAACCAACAACATCGACAAGGCCAGTCATTTCAAAAAAGCTGAAAACAATTGAAATCAAAATATAAATGTGAGAAACCGGTGACAACTGAGTAACCCCAAGATACTTACTTCGCACTAACAATTCTTCGCTCTGCTTCGTCAGGCCCGGCAGATTCATCATCTCGGACCCCCATCAGGATATCAAACTAGCTTCATACAAAAGCAGAAGTAGCAGAGCTATTGATTCGCTGTTTGCTGTCTCGAGAACAGATGGATTATTTCCAGCCAATATATCCAACACGACGCCGATTTTGACAGCCATTGAAGAGGTTCTCGAACGCTCAATGTCTCCTTGTGTTTCTCGCACATTTTGCCATCCGTCGAGTTGAGTACAGAGCGCCGTGAACGTATTTCGCGTCATACGGAAACGTTGGCGAAACTCTTCTTCTGAACACATCCGAAGAGCACAATCCATCTCCCAGATTAGCTCTGGTAGCTAGTGCACTGATCGAGCTACCAAGCCTTTCGTTTGATTGGACCGGATCACTAAAAAATGCCTTTTCAAAGCTACACCAAAGAACCTCCTATAATGCTGCCTGACTATCTTTCAGAGTGAAAAAAACTGAAGTTGAGTTAAAATGTGTGACAGCAGTTAGACGCCCAAAATCTTGTCCTAATAACCTACGCGAAACAAAATTTCGAAAGTTCAGTGTTCAGCATCATCGTCAAGCCTGAGCCACTGCCTTATTACTGCAACTAGGAAATACAATATACAGAGAGCATAATACGAAACTATACATATGCTTTAGGCCCCCTAACGTACGAACCGACTCCCTCATGCGAAAAACCTCCGCAGTGTGAGAAATTACATTATCACTCCTTCACTCGGGAAGAAGTTTGTGCACTTCTAAAAGAATAAACGTGCCCTTGGTACCTATCCAATGCAGTGAAAGAAACACACCTGTGACTGATTGGTTCAACTTTCCCCACGTCAGTCGCACATGAGCAACTTGATACCGAAAGAGAACCATCTATAAACACTCTATAGAAGACTATCCTCATAGCGAAAGTAAGCAGAGCCATAGAATAAAACAAAATAAGCACACAATCGGCTACAGTAGTACCTGCGGCGCTGTTTGAGTGACTTGTCGATGGTGTCGCTGCGCTTGAAACGAAGTCACCAATGAGTTCCACTGCAGACAATTCCCCGACGTTCCCATGTTCCTCTTTGACTGAAGATGGCTCAGGAACACATGTCTCAGCTCCTATTAACCACAACTATCGTGACTCGAACAATTGTAAACGTTCTTTTCACATCTACTGGAGAGAGAGAGACGAAGTTATGATGCTGCCATAAGTGACGTGAAAGCACAGCTAAAAGGAACTCTTCCCATGGAAAAGCTCCCCCTTATTACGCACAGAACGATACCTTAAAGGACGAATTCACGATGAAAAAGCAACCCATTTCAAATTAACCTAGGGATGGTGAGTGGTACACGAAAGAAGGAAGAACCATGAGAAACGGCCCAGAACCCGAGAAATGACCCCTTCCTTGCCCGTTGATTCGAGCATTGATGCGACTCTCATCGCTGTGCCCTCTTCAACACTACGCTCTCTCAGCTATCTAATCACTCGCCACGTATTGAACTACGGCGAGTGATCAGATGATCGGTGGGCGGAGATCGCCAGCTTTGAGGCATGATAGGTCGCCGAGGTCAAATTTTTCCATGCGAATTGCGCGTCAGTTCGCACCCTCAGGAGGTCCGTGGGTCCCTCAACTAGGTCAGTTTCCCTTTCTTCGACCTTCATTCTAATCGTGAATTCCTCCTTTAAGGAATCTTCCACGGAAAGAGTGATCATTTTGTCTTGTGTGTAGGATTAGTATTATCGAAACTAACGCTTATGTTCCGTTCTTTTTGCTATGCTCATGAGGCTAGGGCCTAAGGGGTATCGTTTTTCTGTGGTAATGGAGGCGGAGCTTTTCCGTGGAAGATTCCTTTAATAACCCTCACCGAATGACGCCTTGTTTTAGAAAGGATTTTTAGCTGCATGCACAATTTTATAGTACACCTACATATTGTAGCGTAATCATGGATTAGTGTTGCAAGTAGCTCAAACCACTAACATTATTCTATCTGATGCACTACACGCTCCTTCAATTGCTAACCACCCCCATAATTCTTCCATTTTCTGACATTGATTGGAACTTGTATGAATCGGCACAGCAACCATCTTTTCCGACGTGTCTGTTGTTTGATTTGGATAACGCGGGAATATGAAATGCTGTGTTATTTTGAAGAAAAAGCAGCGCGTCAAATGTTTCTGCCATTTTCAGAATTTCTCTTTTCTTCAACACTATTCATTCACGTTATGTGTACAGTAGGTATGGAAATCGTTCACTTTCACAATGCACATATTGGGTTGTCGGCAACAATTTCCTGTCCGATTTTTGATCAACTTCAAATTTCTTCAAGTCGAATTAGTGTCATTGCAAAATATGTTGGTATGTCAAAGAGTGCATCTAACCGTTAGCCAGGACGTTTTGGAAGGTCCATACCGCATCGGAGTAACTGAGTAGAAGTCGAAATAGATCAATGACAATAAGATTGTGCTTTATATGCTAATAACCGCTGTTGCAAAGAGACATAGAGAAGATCGGCGCTGTGGTTTTCGCTCCATGCTCTGCTACTGGATATGGCGTGAGCTAGTGTTCAGTCACGTATGGCAGAGACAATACGGAATTTGTGAGAAGTGAGCTCACCAGGAAGGTCTTTCAGGGCGTGCCAAGCTTTTTGAAAACGGTCTTTTGCATTGATATAGGGGCACATGCGGGGAACCACAGAACCATGGTTAATTTTTCCTGAACGGCCCTCTGAATACCAGAAAGGGGGTCCCTAGATCGATTCCTCGTGGTGACAAATTTTTGGACAAAGTTGGGCCTGCGTCACTATCGCTCCACACAGCTAGATAATTGGAACAGGTTGGTATTTTCAATCAAGGTGCTTTATACAAATGAATCTTGTTATAAACTTTTGCCGCGGCTAGCGAAGGCGGACGATTCACTTTAGCGCTCGCAATGTTAGTGAAGCAGACGTGAAAGAAGTGGGTGCTTCCCGTAGTGATGTTGTGCTGGATATCGCTCCCATGACACTCGCATATATAGAGCTGACAGGATGTAGCAATATGCTTGCACGTACAGCACTCTCTTGAGCCGACGAAGCCGGCTACCGCTCCTATTTCTTACAAAACAGCACATGCACGCATATGAATTACTCAACCAGAAGCAGCATTACTCTAAACCTATATGATTTGGACAGGTTATTCGGAAGTTCTGGTCCTATTTCGGTAGGATATCTCAAAGACACCTTTTTTATGAGCAACCATGCGGATTAGCGCCATTTAAGAACTTCACAAGAGCTTCTACAAGCAATATGGACACGGAAGTGTTCTCCTGAGATCTTCATCACTCGAAGGTCGCATCGTCATAAGGCTC